AATATTTAGTGAAAAAACCTAAGCTTGTTAACTTCTCTTTCCCCCTCATGGGTTTCCTTTTTACCCTGTGGTAAAACTATCTTTATTATCTTCACTGAGATCTCCTTTTCCCTTAGCACCTGAGGATTTCTCTTTTCCCCAATTTCTATCCCTCACAGATTGAAATTGATGTCAGAAGCCAAACTTTGATTTATGAACCAACTCATAACCATCTGACATTTCAGCTGCTAACCTTGTCGTTTTAACCCTCTGCTCCTCCATGTGAGTTCTCACGACTTCAGGGGGTGAATTTTTGAACTCCTCCAAAATAATCGTCTCTCTAAGAGCGCCATATGTTTGATCTATTTTCAATGCCCTTTTAAGTCGATTTTCCCCTCTAATTGCCAACTTCCAGAGTTCAAATTCTCTCTTTCTCTCTTTCTTCTCTCGCTTTCTCTTTTCCCTCTGCTTTTAATCATAATTCAAACCCTTTCATTTCCTTTTCATGTTCAAGCTGCTTCATTTGCAATTGAAGTTTAGCCACTTCCAAAGATTCCAATGGCATTTCCGGCAAATTTAAATGTCAAGCTATTGCTGCAAGTATCTCCCATTTTCACACATGGACAAAGGCAACCCCAGAACCAGCTGCTCGGCCTGTTCCGAAAGCTTTGCCTTGCTCACATGTTGTAAAACTCCCAAACTCACTTCTTCCACCCCCAGAAAAGTCTTAGTGACCGAAAGATCCATAGATGCAAGATGGTGCTGACACCGAATGACTCCTTGTGAGCTCCTACAACAGATCTAACTCTTACATATCTTTTAATCGTTCTACGCTTTTAAACTTAAATTCTAAATCTGTAAAAATTACTACCTGCAATGTAACCTGTATGCCTCTAAGTCTTTTTGATCTACACATCCTTTGCTTGTTGTGATCGGCCTGTACTGCTTGTTAACGAAGCTTTTCACTATATTTCGGTACACATGACAATAAAAATAAATCTATTACAGAAGGCACACCCAGTTTAAACCAACCAAATTCAACACCTGAAACAAAAGACATTAACACCTACAACTCAGAGATAGTAGGAACTGCCGATACTGAAGTCTGAGATAACAAGGTGTAGAGCTGGATGAACACAGCAGGCCAGGCAGCATCAGAGGAGCAGGAAAGCTGATGTTTCGGGTCTGGACCTTTCTTCTCACTGCCTCTGAGTCCAACAATCCTAAACCCAATTTTGAATTATAGATTTCGATCTTGACAAGAGCCCCCAGTCTGTTATGGATCAGACCGGACCCCCTCAAAATATTTGAAGAAGGCAACCTAGACCCTAACTTCTTCTGATTTTAAAGGTAGATGTGAAGTGCTGTTTTTCAGATGCGATGTGACTGGTCAAACTACTCAATGTTAAGCAAAAGCATGGTTTATTTAAATACAATAGTTAAAATAGAAACAAAAGAAAGAGAAATTTCTCTTTCTTTCTCAGGGGTAATGGAGGGGAAGGGTTATGGACAATATTGAGTGTTTATCATGTCAGTAGAAGACAATTGGACCAGAAATTGAGAAGAAGAAGGACCATGATTAGCCCAAGGTCTTCTGGGTAAAAGGACTCAAACCACCCCCCGCTTGCACCCCTGTCTGGATCGTTATGTTAAAACACTGTGTCAGGACCCTCACAGCCTACACCCCCAACCCCTCCCCACCATGTTCCGATGCTCGGTCCAAATTGCTCCAAGTTACCTTGTTGGCTGACCTGCTTTTTGGGACAGAGCGCCGACCCAATCCCCAATCTTTGCCCTTTGGGAAAGAGGAAAGATCTGGGAATGCTCTGAGACACTGCCTCTTGTGGCATATCCAGCAGAATCATCCGCACACTCCCACCCAATCCACACAGGGCCTGAGCAATCCAATCTTCAGGCTCTAGTGGGAATGAGGAATTTGAACTAATTCACACGAGTGTGGAGAAATGAATGCTCTGAAAGTTGGCCAATCCCTGATGTCCACATCCGAGAAAAGGTGGCGGCAGGGATAGTGGGCGCTACTCCCAGAATTCCCTTGATTCCAGCGTGGTCATGAAAGTAACAAATATGATCCCTGCTGTTAAAGAAGGTGGGAGGGAGATAACAAGCTCATAGCCTGGGGAACAAGGGCCCAATGTTACCAGGGCACTGATGGAGTTAGTTTCCATGGATACAGAATTGGCTCAAAAATAGGAGCCAGAGGGTGGTGGAGGGGGGTTGCTTTCCAGACTGGAGGCCTGTAACCAGCGGTGTGCCACAAGGAGCAGTGCTGGATCCACTGTTTTTCATTATTTATATAAATGATTTGAATGTGAACATAGGAGGTTTAGTTTGTAAGTTTGCAGATAACACCAAAATTGGTGTAATAGACAATGAAGAAGATTACCTCAGAGTACAACAGGACCTTGATCAGATGGGCCAATGGGCTGAGGAGTGGCAGATGGAGTTTAATTTAGATAAATGTGAGGTGCTGCATTTTGGAAAGGCAAATCAGGGCAGGACTTACACGCTTAATGGTAAGGTCCTGGGGAGTGTTGCTGAACAAAGAGACCTTGGAGTGCAGGTTCATAGTTCCTTGAAAGTGGAGTCCCAGGTAGATAGGATAGTGAGGCAGTGTTTGGTACGCTTGCCTTGGTCAGTGCATTGAGTATGAGAGTTGAGAGGTCAAGTTGCAGCTGTACAGGGCATTGGTTTGGCCATTTTTGGAATACCACATGCAATTCTGGTCTCCCTGCTATAGGAAGGATGTTGTGAAACTTGAAAGGGTGCAGAAAAGATTTACAAGGCTTGGAGGGTTTGAGCTATAGGGAGAGGCTGATTAGGCTGGGGCTATTTTCCCTGGAACGTCGGAGGCTGAGGGGTGACATTTATAGAGGTTTATAAAATCATGAGGGGCATGGATAGGGTGAATAGCCACGGTCTTTTCCCCAGGGTAGGGGAGTCCAAAACAAGAGGGCATAGGTTTTAGGTGAGAGAGAAAAGATTGAAAAGGGACCTAAGGGGTAACTTTTTCACACAGAGGGTGATGCATGTATGGAATGAGCTGCCAGAGGAAGTGGTGGAAGCTGGTACAATTACAACATTTAAAAGGCATTTGGATGGGTTATAATATGGGTTATAAGATGGGTTATGAATAGGAAGGGTTTAGAGGGATATGGGCCAAATGCTGGCAAATGGGGCCAGATTAATTAGGAAATCTGGTCGGCATGGATGAGTTGGAGCGAAGGGTCTGTTTGCGTACTGCACAGCCCCATGACTATGACTCTATGTAGTTGGTTCAGGTCTCTGTAAAGCTGGTCTCCACAACAGTGACAACTAAACCATATTGGATTGCCCACAGAAACCCACATGCCATCCTTACCTGGTCACGGCCATGTAACTCCAGACCCACAGCTGCATTCCTGAGTCTTAAATGCCTTCTGTTCAAGGGATGGACAACTGATGCTGGCCTTGGCCATGACAGGCTTTTAACATATGGATTGACATGAATAGTGGGCTGTTCCAAGCAGCCACTGAATGGGCTGAATGGCCTCCTTCTGTACAGTCAGGCTGCATGATTCTACAATCGTTTATATTGTGTGGAGACACTGGCACAGTGAGAATCCAGGAGACCAGGTTCAGGTTTCTGGAGACAGGGATAGAATCCTACTATGGCAGGTGGTGAGGTTTGCAATGGCATAAAACCTGGAATGGGAAGCTGGAGTAATGGTCACCATGCGATCACTGTCAATTGTTGTAAACATCCCTCCATCCATCTGGGAAGGGAATCTGCTGTCCTTACCCACTCTGGCTGACATCTGACCCCTGAGCCACAACAGTAGGACTGACCTCTGATATTGCCAAGGGAGCCACTCAGGTCAAAGGTCAGTTAGAGATGGGTACCAGCTCCAGGGACTTTACAATCACATGTGAATAGACTTGCCAAGCTCAATATGTTGGCACCACCTATTAATGTGCTGGTTGGGCTTGGAGTATTCATGTTATAATGGGAGTGATCCTCTTACAGTGTTACAGAGAGAGCAATCTTCTTACAATGTTACAGTATGAGCAATCTTGTTACGGTGTTACACTGAGAGTGGTCTTATGACAGTGTTACAGCGGAAGTGTTCCTATTACAGTGTTACAGTAAGAGCGATCCTGTTACAGTGAGACTGATCATTTTAGTGTTACAGCAGGGGATCTTGTTACAGTGTTACAGTGGGAGCAATCTTGTACAGTGTTAAAATGGGAGCAATTCTGTTACAGTATTACACTGCAAGTGATCTTTGTACAGTGTTACAGTGGGGGAATCTTGTTACAGCGGGAGCGATCCTGTTACAGTGGGAGCGATCCTGTTACTGTGTTACAGTGGTTGGGATCTTGTTGTGGTGTTAGAGTGAGAGCAAACTTGTTACAGTGTTACAGTTGTGGGATCTTGTTACAGTGTTACAATGGAAGTAACCCTGTTACAGTGTTACAGTGGTAGCAATCCTGTTACAGTGGGATCAATCCTGTGACAGTGTTAGCGATTGTGTTATAGTGTTACAGTGGGGAGATCTTGTTACAGTGTTGAAGTGGAAGCAACCCTGTTACAGTGGGAATGATCTTGTTGTCATGTTACGGTAAGAGCAATCCTGTTACAGTGTTATGGTGAGAGTGATAATGTTATAGTGTTACAGCGAGAGCAATCCCATTTCAATGTTACAGTGGGAGCAATTCTGTTACAGTGTTACAGTGGTACCATGCTTGTTAGTGTTACACTTGGAGTGATCCTGTTACAGTGTTAGCGATCTTGCTACAGTGTTATGATGGGGGGATTTTGTTACAGTGTTACAGTGGGATCAATCATGTTTTGATGTTACAGTGTTACAGCCAGAGCAATCTTGCTGCAATGTTACAGTGGGAGCAATTTTGTTACAGTGGGGGGATCTTGTTACAGTGTTACAGTGGGGTATATTGTTACAGTGGGAGGGATCTAGCGAAGGGGAAGTGGTTTTCTTGATGAAGCTATGGTTAGAGTCTGGTGACTGTGCAGTTCCCCACCCCGTCGCCTCTCTCTCTCTGTGTCCTAGCTGTTGCTGAGCGTGCAGTTGAACGTGTGTGTTGCTAGAAGCACTTTCTTTCCTGTTCGAGAAGTTTCCGTCAATGTGCGAGCCCAGGGCTGAGAACCCACCCCCTGCACCGTGAGGGCTTGTTTACCGTCTTTGGCAGGTAGGCAGATCCCCTGATGTGCGGCTCTACATGGTACCTGGGGCTATAGCTACAGGGAGAATGGTCTGTGTGTCTCTGAGCAGGTCAGTGTCGATTCCCAGCATTAATGGGGTCAGCGAGAAAACTTCCTCACTTCACTGTCTCTTTATTATGTTTAGAAATCCAAGACTCTAATTCAAGTTGAAATCGCACCTAGTTCGAGTGTGCAGCTGTGGGAGAGTACCTTCTTGTTCACATTGCACACTCAGCGTTTTCAGGCTCGGTGCAATTGCCGAATACACTCATGGCCTTCCGTTCCTCGAGTCTGTTTCCCAGCAATTACCGCAAACGACCAGGTGCTACTCCACCCTCAGGAGCACCTACTGCTTCCAAACCTGGAGCTGGGCATCCTCCAACCACCCCATGTTCACCCTGAAACACTGCTTCTGCAGTGGGACATGTACAAGATAGGGTCTGAACTGTAAATGGAGAGCAATGTGCAGTACACTGTCTGACCCTTCTCTCTCTGTCTGTCTGTATCCTGCCCTCACTGTGTCCCCTCTTACACTGACCCTCTGCTCTCTGTTACCCTCACTGTTCTTTTTATTCTCACCCTGTGTCCCTGTTATCCTCAACCTGTATCCCTATAACCCGCATCCTCTGTCCCTGTTACCCTCACCCTGTGTCCCTGTTACCCTCCCTTTGTTCCTGTTACCCTCACTTTGTCTCTATTACCCTCACCTTGTGTCTCTATTACCCTCACCCTGTGTCTCTATTACCCTCACTGTCTCTATTGCCCTCATTTTCTGTCCCTATTGCCCTCCCTGTGTCCCTGTTGCCCTTGCTGTCTTTGAGTTGAATCATAGTTTTTTTTTTGGTGAACTTTCAATCAGGTCAAGTGTTATGGAATTGCTGGGGGGGTTTCTCCCCATGGGGCCCAATGAGTTTTTTTTCTCATGTTATTGCCCCAAAGCCACCTCATTAACTCCTGCCCTGTCCCTGTTGGGTCTGTTGCTAGCCTGGGCCCCCCACTCACTGTCTCTGGGAGAACCTGCCTCTGTCTGGATGTCCCAGATTGGACCAGCCTCCCTGTCTCTGCCAATACGATTCCTGACATTTCCCCGTGACGTGGTATTTGCATTTGGTGCCTCACTTTGTGGGCAGGCTCATGGATGTCCTGGTGGATGGGGGTGGTCAGGACTGGCAGAGGAGGCCGTGACCCAGAAGATGCCAGGCATGCACTGATGCTGCTAGCTGGGATAGTATGGGAGAATACCCTGTGCTGTAGGGCAATGACAGGGCTACTGCGGTTTTTAAAAATGGCAACTGACAGGGAAGGCAAGAAGAAGGTTACTGTCCTTCTCCACTCAGCCAGTGTGAGTGCCATCACCTTCTCTCTGAAAGCACACACTCACTCTCTCTCTGCCACTCTGCCATCCCAGCATGCTGTACCACGCTCACGCCTCCCTCCCTCATTCTCGCCACCCCCTCGAACCCCCACACTGCTAACCCTCTGCGCTTCCCACTCATCACACAACTCACCACCATTGCCTGATCAGAACCAACACCGACAGCTGGCCACCCCACTCTCAAATCCTTTAAAGCATTAAAACGGCAAAGCAGAGCAGGGAGACTGTGAGCACCCAGGCAGGCAATGAATGAGTTAGTGCTCTGTTCCCACTCTCTTGGGAAAGTACTGTTAGTCAGTGTATGGTTAGGCCTAAGAGTACTTAAAGCTTCTTTAAGGTCTGATCAAAATTAAAGCAACAAGGCATGAAGCAAATTTACTCACTTAATCTACTTACATGCAAACTAATGAGTGAATCTATTAGCTTAAACTATACTATTGATTTATATATTGAACAAGTCTACAGGACATTGGTGAGGCTTCTTCTGGAGTATTGTGTCCAGTTCTGGTCACCCTGATATAGAAAGGATATTATTAAGCTGGAGAGGCTTCAGAAGAGATTTACCAGGGTGTTACCAGGTATGGAGTTATAAGGAGAAGTTGGAAAGGCTGGGACTTTTTTCCACTGGAGTTTAGGAAGTTGAGGGTGACCTTATAGAGGTTTATAAAATCATGAGGGGCATAGATAAGGTGAATGGCAGGTGTCTTTTCCCTAAGGTGGGGGATTACAAGACTCAAGGGCATGTTTTTAAGGTGAGAGGAGAAAGATTTAAAAAAGACGAGGGACAACTTTTTTACACAGTGAATGGTTCATGTGTGGAATGAACTTCCAGAGGATGTGGTGGATGCAGGTACAGTTACAACGTTTAAAAAACATTTGGGTAAGTACATGAATAGGAAATGTTTGGAGGGATAAGGGCCAGAAGCAGGCAGGTGGGACTAGTTTAGTTTGGGAACACAGTTGGCATGGACTGGTTGGACCGAAGGGTCTGTTTCCGTGCTGTATGATCCTGTAATTAAGTGAGAATCACACTGACTTGCTGAGTGTCAGTGACATTGGCAACTGTGGCATTGGGAACTCTGTCTTAGATTCTATGGCACCGACCCCATAGCCCAATGGGGAAAGGTCCATGGTCCCAGTCTCGCAATACCAGTCCGTTAGGGAAGGTCCATTGATTGGGACGGAGTACCTGATGTGAATACAGTTCTGGTTACCTGCTGTATCACCATTTTCATAGTACCTTCAGTCATTTTCCAGCCCTTAAAAAGCAGGTTGTAAACAAGCCCAGGTGGTCCTATGTAAACGGCACAAGCAGACAGTTCCCTGTCTTCCCGCTCCCTACCACCCCCACCCAACTCCTCCTCCTCCCCCCAGTTAAAACCGGTTGGTTTTGCGTCACGCCTGTTTTTCATGTACTTTTCCACCTCAGTTGCTCATTGTCCTGTCCAATCAACCTTTAACCTTTAATGGTTTAGTTTGAAGAAACCACTTTGGAGCCTAACACTACAGCCAGCTGTGCCTCAAGTTCTGGAATTCTCTCCCTAAGTCATTCTGCAAGGGAAGCCCTTTCTAGGCCTTGCAATGTACAGAATGGTCAGTCAGATCTAGGCTGATCTAAATCATAACCAAATCTGCCCAATCCTGCAGCCCCTTCACCTTCGGGCAGTCCTTTGGTCATTCTGTCAACATTTTGGTGTCAACTTCCGTTAGGTCAGACTCCCGTTAAGTGTCTTGGGGTGTTGTACTGTGTTCGAGGCGACACCTAAATACAAGTTATTGTTGTTGCAGTCCCAGTAATAACCAACTTCCACATTGCAAACATCGAGGAACTCCACTGTAGCCAATACCCCTTAGTGCAGCCTATTGGAAAGAGCAAAAACATTTTATCGTTCTGTGTTTCCTGACTGTCATATAAACTCAGTATTGATGCACACAATCTCAGAATTGTTACAGTGCTGAAAGAGCCTATTTAGCCTGCACTGACTCATTAGTCAAATTTCATCATGTAGTTTCAAACTCCAACCTTTATCCTGTAACCCTGAACACTATTCCTATCCAAACCCCCTTTTGATTGCCTCGTTTGAACTGGACACTGGCACATTTCCATGCAGTGCATTTCAGGCTAACCACTCACTGAGTGAAAAAGGTTTTCACACCACAGCCTTCCTTCTGTTGGTCAGAAATCACACGACACGGGTTTATTTGAAAACACAAGCTTTCGGAGCCTTGCTCTTTCTTCAGGTGTCAGGACTATGACCTGGTGTTGTGTGATTTCTGACCTCGTCCACC